GTAGCCCCACACCCTGGAAACTCAGTCTCCCAGTAGTCCAGTTCCCTACCACAGGGTTCTCAGATCTCTGAGGAACTATGGTGGCTGGGGCAGCATAGGCTGTGGAACACCTTCCAAGAATGAAAATCCCAGATGGAGAGGAGAGGGTCTCAGAGGCAGGCAGGGGCCAGGCTCCCAGCAGTGCCTAGCCGTACACTTGGGTATCCATCTAGTCAGTAGCTTCATAGAGGGTCAGGAGGCTAGGCATTGAGGTGGCAAGGGGGAAACAGGAGGCCAGGGCACTTGCGGCCAGTGGGAAAGGCAGCTGGAAATTCCATTTGGTTTTCAATTTCAAGGTGGAGAGAGGCTAGGGGCTGAGGGACTGGCAGAGGAGAAGTCAGAGCCAGAAAGGGAGAGAGAGAGATGGACAGAGTCAGAAACACAAAGTCAGAGACAACAGAGATCCTGAGAGACAGAGTCAGAGACACACAGAGGCAGAGGGTCGGGGACAGCAAGCAGAGACCCCCAAGGGGAAAAGTCACAGACATAGAGCCAGAGTCAGGGACGGTGAGCAAAACCAGGAGAGGACGCAGTCAGAAGGAGGAAGTGAGAACACACACACAGAAAGATGTCTGAGGAAAGTGGCAGCAGCACGCTGGTCCCCCAAAACACAGGAGACGCACGTGTACGGATGTACAGGGAACCCCACCCCCAGTTCAGCTAATAGGCTTCACTAAACCATTTGCTTCATTGAGGTGGGAGCAAGTCTCACTCTAGCCCAGGCTAGCCTGGAACTTACTCTGTAGCCCAACCTGGTCTCAGTCTAAAGACAACCTCTCTGCCTGAGCCTACCAAGTGCTGGGACTGCAGATGTGAGCCAGCAGGTTTAGCTCTCTCTCTCTCTCTCTCTCTCTCTCTCTCTCTCTCTCTCTCTCTCGTATATTATATGTACATATGAGCCATCTGGGGCACATGCCCATAGCAGAGGCTGGAGGAGGATGTTGGATATCCTGCTCATTGATCCCCAGCCTATGCTCTTGAGACAGGGTCTCTCACTGCACCTGGAGCTGGGCAGGCACCCTGGTGATCCTCCTGTCTCCATCCCTCAGAGCAGCAGGTTATGGGTGTGCATACTCACACCTGGCTTTTCAGATGAGTGCCGTGGAGACGAACTCAGATCCTCATGATGCCCAGGGAGCACTCTTACTCACTGAGCTGTCTCCCCAGCCCCAATCATTATAATTCTTTTTAATTTAAACAAAGGCGGTGGTGGCACAACCCCTTTAATCCCAGCACTTGGGAGGCAGAGGCAGGCAGACTCTGAGTTTGAAGCGAGTCTGATCTACAGAGTGAGTTCCAGAACAGCCAGGGCTAAAGAGAAACCCTGTCTCAAAAAAAAATGTTTTTAAATAAGTTAGGGACCCAGACATAGTGGCTGATGCCTGTAATCCCAGTACTCAGAAGGTAGAGACAGGAGGATCAGGAGTTCAGGGTCATTCTCAGCTATGCATCAGTTTGAGGCCAGCCTGGGCTACATAAGATTCTCTCTCAAAAAAACAAGTAATCTGGAACACAGTTGAAGACTATGAGCATCTACACACATCTGTACACATACCCATCTGTATACATGCTGTGCTGGCACACACTTGTTCCTGCTCACACATCCATGCAACCAGTCCACATTCACTCATGTTCACACTAGCTCTACACTTGCAGCCCTGGCCTCTAGGCCTGGCTCTGTAGGAAATGCTGTGTGGCTTTCTAGAAAATTCCTCCCTCAGAGGGAAGCCAAGGCAAAGCTAATCCCAAGATGAACCAAAGGAGTCAGCGATGGGGTTCTAAGGTATCAGGGACTAGAGGATGGCTGATTATCCTGTTTCCTTTACACAGGTCCCCTGCTAAGCACATTCCCAGGGGACCCAGGGATAGGGCCCTGTCAGGCACGGATCTGGTGCAAAGACAGGCTCAGGACAATAAAGTGACTTCCCAGGGCCATATAGCCAGGACAGGAACCAACCTGAGACCTCAAGACCCGACCCACCAACTCCCATGGAGACCATCAGGAAGCAGCTGCCCTCCCTGAACCTAATCTTTAAGGACTCAGGACAAATGTGGCAAGGAAGCAAACACCCATGGGTGCCCCTGCCCACTGAAGCCACCCTGTCCAGCTGTTCATGCCAGAGTGGGAGGATACAGAATGCCAGCACAGGCTATGTCTACGATGTCGCCCCTAAACAGTTCCAGGCAGTAGCCCCTCTCCTTGAAGGTGCTTCAGGAATATTGTTTCATTGGTCACAGGTGGGTGCCCTATTAGGAAGCTGCTTCCATTCCCTGTTTAACAGATGAGGAAACAGATGCTCTTTGCTGTAGATTTGCCTAGGGTCACACAGTCCTCTGCAGTCCCCTCAGCAGTAGACACCCAGTTACCCTTGCACACTCTTCTGGAAAGAGACGTAGCCTCTATCCTGGGCAGCCTAGCTTGTTGGCTCTGCCTCAGCTTCCTCATCCAGGCAAGACCAGAGAGGAACACTGGGCTGCGGCTGGGAGGACTGCACCACAGGGATACCAGGGAGCCAGCCCAGGAGGGCTGGACCTCACACATCCATCCACACTAAGACCCAGGCAGTGGACCAGGAGGCCCAAGAAAGCTGTCCTGCAGCGCCACCTAATGGTCACATTGTTGCAATGTGGACAACTACATTGGATGGATTCCTTCTCCCCCGATGATTGGTAAAATGGGACAATTCCTACCGTAGTGAAACCCAGCAGGAACTTGACCCTTGCTAGTGTCTGTTATTAGGAGTGTCTCCCTTCTGGATTAGTGAGTAGAGTTTGGATGATGAGGGGCTGTCCAGGGGGGATCGACTGTTTCCTTGTGACCCACATTCTACAGGATCAGGTTTGCAAAATCCCCAATACCTGTTGGCCCAGTGAGTTCAGATGTCCTTTTTCACTCCCCATTCACCGACTGGCTGGTGATGCACGGCTCCCACATGCCAAGTGCTGGTTAGGAGCCTCCAAGAGAGAAATAAACCTGGCAGGATTTCTTCCCGCTGCAAAAAGGCCCTGCATTTGATCACCAGCACAAACAAACAAACCGAAATGGTGAAGAGACATTTCCAGACTAGAGACATTTCCAGACTAGAGGTTCTCAAAGTTTTTTGTTTAAGAAGCCCTTTAAAAACTTCACTCTTGCCAGGCAGTGGTGGCGAACGCCTTTAATCCCCAGCACTTGGGAGGCAGAGGCAGGTGGATCTTTGTGAGTTCGAGGCCAGCCTGGTCTACAGAGCGAGATCCAGGAAAGGCACAAAGCTACACAGAGAAACTCTGTCTCGATTTAAAAAACAAAAAACAAAAACAAAAAACAAAAACAAAAACACTTCACTCTTTGCCGGGCCATGGTGGTGCATGCCTTTAATCCCAGGACTTGGGAAGCAGAGCTAAGGTGGATCTCTGTGAGTTTGAGGCCAGCCTGGTCTACAGAGTGAGATCCAGGACAAGCACCAAAACTACACAGAGAAACCCTGTCTCCATTAAAAAAAAAAAAAAAAAAAAAAAAAAAAAAAAAAAAAACCTTCACTCTTTAAAAACTCAGGGCAGAAGAGATGGCTCAAGAGTTAAGAGCGCTGTCTGCTCTTCCAATGGACCTGGGTTCTGTTCCCAGAACCTAAACTATGGCTCACAGCAGTCTGTAACTCCCGTTCCAGGGGATCTGATGCACGCCTGTGGTACACAGACATGCACGTAGGCAAAACATTCATACACATTTTAAAAAATTAAAAACAAAACAAAAGCTCAGGTACCCAAAGAACATCTGTGGGTAATATTTATTGATGTGTTCCTTATTAAGAACTGACTTTTCTTTCAAGATTAGGGATTAAATCCAAGCACTAGGATTAAATCCAAGCATTCTATCACCAAGCTATTAATAAATCCTAGCTCTTCAGTAGCCCAGGCTGGCCTAGAACTTGGTATGTAATCTAAGCTGAGCTGAAATTTGCCATTCTTCTGCCTCAGCCTCCCAAGTGATGGTATTACAGGTGTTGTACCATTATGTCCAACAGTATTCACTGATTCTCTCAATGACCAATTCATTGCTTAACGACATAAACAGCATTTGCAATAAATAATTGTAATTTTCAAAACAAAGCCCGTTATTTTGCATGTTTACAAATGTATTTTTTAAGATTTTATTATTTATTTATGTATATGAGGGCTTTATCTGCATGTACAACTTTATGCCAGAAGATGGCATCAGATCCCACTAGATATGGTTGTTAGCCACCATGTGGTTGCTGGGAGTTGAACTCAGGACCTCTGGAAGAGCAAGCAGGCAGTGCTCGTAACCACTGAACCATCTCTCCAGCCCATGTCTTTATTTCTTTATCTATTTGTTTTTTTGAGAAAGGACCGTGCTATGCAGCCCAGGTTGGCCTGGAACTCACGGCAATACTCCTAGTTAAGTTTCCCAAGTTATTAAGATTACAAGCGTGTGCCATCTTGCCTCACTGGCAAATGTCTTTAATGTGACTGGCTTAGTGGATTCTAACGGTGCACAAGATCTGTGTATTGCTTTGAACTTCATGAAAAAACTGTCTAAGCCTTCCAAAAATGGCTTAGGTCTGTAATTCCAGTCCTTTGAAGGCAGAGAGAGGAGGATCAGGAGTTCAAAGTTATCCTCAATGAATTCAAGGCCAGCCTTGGCTACCTGTGTCCTTGTCTCAAAAGGAAACAAAAAGAACTACATCTAGCCTTACAGTTTCTTTTGTAGGAACTGAGGCTATTCAATGATTAGCCCTGGACAGAATTGACCAATGAAGCTGGAAGACGAGGCTGTCGAAGGCACAGCCTGGCTCACAAAAGGCCTGTTGGGTAGGAATTAGACAACAAATGTGGCTTCTGCGCCTTGGACACGCCTCCAGTTCCCGCTCCTCGGAGGCTAGAGGAAACCCGTTAAGCCTACGTCCCAAGGGGGCACTTCCGCCCGCTGCGGAACTTTGGGTTCCGGCTCCGGTTTCCGCCGAGGAGCGAACACCGCCAGGGCGGAAGTAGCTCGCGGCGTGTGGGCGGGGCTCGGCAGCATGTCGGCGGCGTTGCTGCGGCGCGGCCTGGAGCTTCTGGCGGCGTCGGAGGGTGAGGGGGGGCTGGCCGTGGGACGTCGCGCGGTGCACGAGGCCCCGAGGGAAGTGACTGGGAGGGCGGGAAGGGAGCGGTGCGCGCCCTCCGACTCGGTCCTTCGCTGTCTGTCCCCTACAGCCCCTCGTGCCGCCCCCGGCCAGGCCAAGGCGAGCGGGGCTCCGGTGAAGCGGACCCGGAGGGCGAGGGCGAAGGCCTCCCAGGCCCTGAAACTACGGAACTCAGCGAAGGGAAAGGTGCCTAAGTCCGCGCTAGGTGAGTTGGGGAAGAGACTGCGAAGGCAACGCCTTCGAGGCGGGGCTCCAAACATTACCCGAGATTCAACAAGGGAAAGGCATAAAATGGTGGGGCACAGGTCTCGAACCCAGCAACCTAACTCCCAAGTCTGGGCTCTCAGCTGCGTGTCTTTGCTGTTAGCTGTTAACAGAATGAGAGAAAGAAGGAAGGAGCCGGGAGAGGTGACATACACCTGTAATCCCAGCTCTTTGGAGGTGGAGGCAGGAGGACCCGAAGTTCAGTGTCATTCCTGGCTGTGTGGTTGAGTTCAAGGCAAGATGTGCCTGTGGAGGTGAATGAAACGCAAGATCCAGGTGCTTATGAACTATAGCCCTAGCGGGAAGAGAAGCGTTAGAAAGCCTCGAAGCTAGCCTGTTAAGTTGGTGCCGAGTGTGTGAGGCTTGTGAAATAAAAGGCTCCACAATGCTCCAAGGGAGAACCAAAGCAACAAGCCAGATCCGCCATCTGTGAGGAAGCAGTGTTAAGGCTGAGCTGCCAGGTGAAAGGAAGGGGGCATTAGCGGGAAAGGCTTGAGAATGTGGAAGAAAGAAGGCTGACAGAGGAAATATGTCATGAACAAGAGTCAAGATGGAGTATCCATCTGGGTAAGAGGACTGTCTCAATGGTTAAGAGCACTTGCTCTTGCAGAGGACCTGGGTTGAGTTCCCAGCAACCCACACGGTGACTCACAACCACCTGTAACTCCAGGTCCAGAGAATTAGATGCCTTCTTCCGGCTCCACAGACACCTGCTTACTCGGGGTGTACATACACAGACACATAGAATCTTTTTTTTTTTTTTTTTTTTTTTAAAGAAATGGAGCATTGAGCCAACAGTTTACTTCTTTGTGTGCCGGATGCCCTTCTAAACCCTGAAAAAATGTTGACTCATTGGGCCCTCACAGCAGTGAGGTCAGCGGTTCTGACACCCCATTTTACGGATAGAAAAACAGGCAGCTGCCCAGGTGGTGCAAGTGGGAGCAGGCTGTGTGTCCCCATGGTCTTGCTCTTAATGTGCTCTGCTCAGGGGACGGTCCCTTCCTCCATCACAGCAGAAATAGCAAAGAAGTGAGTTGATGGGCTTTAGAGGTGCACCGACTGCAAAGCAGGAGCCTTGTTTCTAGTAGAACATCTTAGGGCGTGTGGCTCAGTTGGTAAGACGTATGGACCCTTCGGGAGAAGGGGGCACAGGGTGATGGTGAGCTGCTTTCTTGTCTTTGAGTCCGTGGGCCCCCCCGAATAAAAGGTGTCAAGGACACTTGGGTTTTATTGTTTGTTTCTCCCCGTTTGGTTTGTGCTGTTGTTTTGTTTTCTTTTGTTTTGGGCAGGTCTTATTACTCTGTGGCTCAGGCTCAAAGCAGTCTCCTGCTTCAGCTTCCTAAATGTTGGGATCACAGGCATGCACCACCACACTCAGCCTTTAAATATTTGTTAAAAGAGAGAAGGAGTCCAAGAGGAAGCACCCCGTGAGCAAAGGTGGAGCTAGGAGGCATATCCGGACACTAGTGGTTTACAGAATCCCCATGCCAAGGTGCCTCACTGCCCAGTGACTGGGGTTCCCTTCACTCCTGTCCTGAAGTGGAAGTTCCTCAAGTCTCAAGACACAGGGCTAACCTCCCACCCCAACCCTGGATTGTCTGTGGCCCTAGTGGCCAGACCACAGCCTGGTACATAATGGGTGGGTAAGAATGGCAGGACAATAGCCAGGCATTGTGGGCACGCCTTTAATCCCAGCATTCAGGAGACAGAAGCAGGCAGATCTCTTGAGTTAGAAGCCAACCTGGTCTACATAGTCTCTATGTCAAAAAATAAAGCAGCCAGTCTGGAGATAGCCCAGTGGCTGCTCCTTGGTTTAAGTTACCTCATCTCAGCCTGCATTGTGCAGAAGCTCTTGACTGGTCCCCACCTCTCACATGCTCACCTCTCCCAGTGATCTTAATCTCAGCAGCAACATCATGAGCCCGGCCTCACTTCCCCTCAGGGTCTTCAAGTGCGCTGATTTCAGCTTCTTGGTTCTTCATCGTCGTCTTTTTGTTTTTGTTTTAAGACAGGGTCTCTTTGTGGTAACAGCTTTGTAGACCAGGCTGGCCTCAAACTCACAGAGATCTGCCTGCCTCTGCCTCCTGTCCTGGGATTAAAGGCATGCACCACCACCTCCCTGTCTTCCACTTCAAGGTTTTAACACTGTTTCCATCTGTCTCCAAATGCCCTTTCTCTAGATGAGTGGTTCTCAACCTGTTGATCACAACCCCTGGGGGTCAAATGACCCTTTCATAGGGGTCACCTAAGACCATCAGAAAACACAGATATTTACACTATGATTCATAACAGTAGCAAAATTAAAATTATGAAGTAATAACAAAAAATAATTTTATGATTGGGGGTCACCCCAACATGAGGAACTGTGTTGAAGGGTTGCAGTGTTAGAAAGGTTGAGAATCACTGCTCTAGATGTTGACATCTCTGACTTTCCCGTCTTTTCGGTGAGGCCATCTTAGGACTTTTTTCAAAATTGCAGTCCTCCACTTCTGGCGCTCCCTTTTTCTGTTTTGCTCAGTTTTTCTTTGTATGGTGGCTAACCCTGACTAGACTGCATTCAGGAGAACAGGGCAGGAGAATCTCTGAATTTGAGGCCAACCTGGTCTACGGAGTGTACAGAGTGAGACTGCCCGTCACCCCCAAGGGAAAAAAATGGATAACCCTCCAAAACACTCACCATGCTTCTCAGTCCTTTTCCTGTAGAAATGAGACCAGGAGTCCATGTGTCCTGTTTCTTACAGCACTTAGAGCCTGATCCATAGTTGAGCTATGGGCACACCTGTTTGTATGTGGTGGTGGTAATGAGTTTTTGTTGTATTGTTTGTAAATAGTCTTGCTACATAACGCTGTCTGATCTGGTACCTGTTGTGCAGCTAGGAGCAGTCTTCCTGTCTCAGCCTCCCAAGTGCTGGGATCACAGGTGTATACCAGCATGCCTGCCTTAAGACATAGTTGTAAGTGATTGAGTCACATGACTAACTGAAAGCCATCCAATAGGTGGGGGTTTTCAGCCAGACCTATGAGAAAAGTAGATTTGGCTGAAAAGAGCCCAGACTATTGAAATAATCTAGGGAAGGGACCCAGAAGACTTCTAGAATATGATGAGTCTGAAATGACATGCCATGCCTGCCACCCACAGCCGAGTACCAGAAACGACAATGTCGAGACCACCTCAGAGCAAACCTGAAGTTTATGACCAGCGTGAGAAGCACCGTGCCAGAGTCTGTGACCCAGCAGGTTTGTCTGGGGGACCTAGGGGTGATACTGAGGCTGTTCTTCAGGATATGTGTGGACCTGTCTCACTGAATACAGTGACCAGTCTGCCCAGTCCTTCCCTGAGCTGTTATCCCTGCGCTTAAGTCCCATAAGTCCCTGTGCTTCCAAAAATGGAAGTTCGATGCCCTCACTCCAAATCCTTTCCAGATTCTGCAGCAGAACCAGGGCCGCAAAGCTTGTGATCGGGTAGTGGCCAAGACACAAAAGAAGAAGAAGAAGAAGGCTGAGGGCACTGTGTTCACTGAAGAGGACTTCCAGAAGTTCCAGAGGGAATATTTTGGCAGCTAGGCTTCCCGGAGGAATGATGGGGACAAAAGACTAACCTTTGACTGCTGTACAGCTGCTGTCTCTGCGGCTGTGCTGGAGGCGACCAGCAGGTGGCAGTGCAAGCCATCCTGGCTCAGGAGGCCCTGGAGCTGGTATCCCAGGGCCACTGGAATAGAGCTGTGAGCGCGGGGGCAGATACGCCCTCAAATTGAAGTGGACTTCTGCTGGTTTGGTCGGAGCCATCTGTACCCTGCCAGAAAAGATTGTGACCTGTTAGCTTTGACCAGGATAGGACCCTAGGGCTATTTGCTGTGAAACGGCGAGGTGCATGGCCCTCTCAGACCATACCTCCAAGAGCTACTAGTCGATTGTTGGGTTCAAGTAAATGTGAATTTGAGCAAATGTGGGTTCTGTGTGTGTGTGTGTGTGTGTGTGTGTGTGTGTGTGTGTGTGTGTGTGTGTGTGTGTGTGTGTGTCTGTGTCTGTCTGTGTGTGTGTGTCTGTGTGTCTGTGTCCCAGTTTAGGCCCAGCATAAATGCCTTCCACCAGCAATGCCCTCCTTTCTGGGCATGGCCACTAGCTGCTAGCATTGTGGAGGAAGTTGACAGTAGGTCTGGAAGTCTAGAAGTGGAGCTGCCTCTGCCCTTCTGGAGCTTGGGGTCTGCTATGACAGCAGTAGAGAGCAAAAAGCCAGCTGGGTCCTCAGGTTGCATGGGATAGGGGCATAGGTCATGATTTCAGGAGTCATCCTAAGCAACCATTGACATTCAGTTCTATACCCAAGCCAAGGACAGCAGTGAAAGCCATGGTTGTGCCACCTCAGGGCAAGCTGGACCCTTTCCAGCAGAGAGACAGTGCCAGACACAGGTGCAAAGGAAAGGTCACGTGGAACAAACGCTCTGTGGAAGGAATGGCACAGACAGCTGCTCCAGTGGCGAAGAGATGACCTGTCACAGAGCCCAGGAGACCCTTCAGTGGAGATAGATGGGTTCCTAAGGAGAAAACTGAGGGCCTTCACATAGCCATCTTCTCCCCTGAGCCTGCCTCTCCATTTTCAGCCTAGGGGCTCCTCAGGTCCCAGGACTCCTGAACCCAGGAACATCCCAGAGCCTCTAGTAGAGAAAGTGTATTGATGGGCCCCTGACAAGGCTAGTTGGGCTTTGTCCTCAGTAAGAGAACAGGGTTCACTGCCCCCACTCCAGGCATCTCAACATGAAGACACAGAACTACCTCCAGCAGAGTAGAGTGGATCCTGCCTCCATGTGGCCTCTGTCTGACGAGAGGCATGGCCGTCCCTCCAGGAAGTCAGAGCAAGCAGGAACAGGAGGGAGGATGCTGTGACTGTAAGCTAGGGATGGGAGCTCTGGGTCCTCTGTGGTGTGAGCTGTTCAAAGGTACATGGGTACTGGTCTTCAAACCCTCCAGCCCTTCCTGCTTGCTGGGTTTTGCAAATTCAAGTGTCCTCGGGAACTCATTTCCTCCATCTTTAATAAGCCGCTTACCAAACAACTCAATATTTATTCTTGTAGGGGGGTGATGAAGGGCTCTAGGGCCCCTTTCTCGGGAACACACACCTGTAGTCACATGATCACCTAGAGGATGCCAGCAGAGATCCTGTACCTTTCCTGGTGTAAGGCCTCCACCTGCTGCCAAGGAGAACAGCCTACACACAGGATGGATTGCTGACCATTATCCCAAACCCTACCAACCAATGGCCCAATAAGAGGATGCCAGTTGTTACATCCAAGCCAAAGGAGCCTGCCCCAACCAAGGCATCCCAGATAGATGCAAAACTACAGGGAACATTCGAGCGAGTTTTAAGTTTGGTGATCTACACTTGGACCCCTCCATCCCCATCCCTCATGCTTCCTGTGGCTCCTGCTGTGCGCTGTGCCATGCACTGGTCATGGGGACTCAGGGTCAGCCGCCAGGACACCAGCCTTGCCTAGAAGGGTCTGACTTGGGGATGGGGAAGGCCTGAGCCCAAGGCACAGCTGGAGCTGATCAGATTCTGGATAGGTGGGCCGAAGTGCTCTTCCTTTTCATACACACAATTTCCCCATTCTTAAAGGCCTAGTCAGGAGAGCCAGCAGTCTATGCTAAGATTCCCCCAACCTAAGCTAGCCTATCTCTGAAGTTGTCATTTTTATTTTGAGCATTTACCTGCCACCCACCATGGCCAAGACCCCATCCCAGAGTGCCTGGGAAGGTGCTCAGCACTTGGGTCTCGTTGCAGAGACTCACTCTTCCTGGACTCCTCTGTCTCCAAACCCTACATCTACCACCTCACTGGCCAAGACAGTCCAGCTTCTGCCAGCATAAAAGGGTGAGCCAAAAGGCCTGCTCCTGCTTCCTCCATCTGCAGATGTGGAGCTACTGCTTCATCATCATCCTACCCACACCCAGACCCCACCTTGTTCCCTGCCCTGGGCATACTCTTCCAGGAGCAGGTGCTCTGCCCAGACTGCCAGCCACTTCACACATCTTTGTTGTCCCTTTGTCCCCTTAGGAAAAGGAAAGGTCTACAAAAGCTGGGCTGTTGATCTTGTGTTGACTGTCTGGTCTCTGACAGTGTTTAGTGTGTGATGGGCAGTCACCAATGGTAGGAAGACTGTAGTGACAGGCACTCTCTGAGCAGGTGAAGGAGAGCAAGCACTACTTCCAGTCCTTTTGTCAACACCTGCCAGGGGCTGTAGGTCAGCGTGGTCAGTGGCTCCATCTTGGTTCTCCCTAGTCCTCTCGTAATGCACGTCCCAGGCTGCACCTAACAGGTCAGGTGTGGCAGTGCATGTCTATAACCCCAGCACTTGGAAGGTGGAGGCTGGGGGAGCAACAATTCAAGGTCATCCTTGACTGCATGTCAAGTTCAAGGCGTACCTGGGTAATGAAAGACCCGGTTTAAAGCACTGCCAGGGTCATCTGGAAGGACTGACGTGACATTAGTCCTGCATAGAGGCGGAGCAGCCATAGGAAGTTCTCAGGCAGAAGGACTATCTGCCAAGTGAGGGGTGGGCACTGTCTCCAAGGACCTCCACCTGCTCCTCTATCCCACTCCCTCTTGTTGCCTTCCTCTGCCACTACCATGTGCTAGGCGCTGAGGGCGATGGTAGGTTTTATCATCTCATCTCGGGGTGGGGACTTGAAATAACAAAACTGAGGTGAGGAATTAGGGTAGGGCTTAAAAACAGCTGCGCAGGAGGGCAGTCCATGCTTCACTCCCATTCTGCCACCCCTAGCCCCGCCCCCACCAAAACCAAGCCAACTGATGCTTTTGTGTATGGCTTTGGGGTTTTTTTTAGCGAGGGCCTTATAGTTCAAGCTGGCCTTAAACCTGTGATCCTGCCTTAGCCTCCCCAGACCCAAAATAGATGCATAATCAGCTACAGCTGCTATTTTCTTCAACTGTGTACACACAAAGGCATCGAGAGGTCTGCTTTTACTGATCCACACACGGCACGTTCTCAGCTTCAGTTTTAGACAAGTTGTTCCCACCCCTAACCAGACAGCTTTGTGCCCTGACGTAAGAAATCCTCAATTTGCTCTGCAGTGCCCCATTACCTTCTAGCACTAAGGATCTCTTGAGTTTGAAACCAGCCTGGTCCACCTAGTTGAGTTTTATCTAGGACCCCATCTCAAAACTCAAAAACTAAGTATCAAGTGCAAGTCGAATAACAAGGACATTTGTAACATCTGTTTAAAGAGCACTCTGTACAATTTACCAGTTCAGATGGGGTGGGTGATAAGGCTGGGCCTTTAAAGAAGCGTTAACATAATGGAACATAATGGCCATGGAACGGAAAATATGGGGAAAGACTCCCAAGGTCACAGCCCAAAGTGGAAACAAAGTCAAGGTGTTTCTAGAACTTCCTCCACTCTTGGCCAAAGACTGTATGGGTGGATCCTTACTTAGTATGAGGCTGGGAGGCCCATGGTCTTAGGAATTCCAGCTCTTAGCCTAGATCAGACCCAAAGGACTATATTCATTCCAACAGCTGGCACTCAGGTGAATTTGCTGCCACTGGGAAGGCTGGTCAGAAACCACTCTTAACCCTGCAGGCCTTATCCACTTTACAGCCCAGCAACTTGGTGAGCAACGCCTATCCCTTCCTCTGATCACTTCCTGCCCACAACAGGTTTCCTAAGGTCTCTGAATTGTATGAGCTTAAATCTAATCAGCTTGTGTGCCCCAAGTACCATACAACCTTATCTAGGTGCCTACATGGCAGATGTCTGGCACAAAGCCAATTATGAACAGATGGTGTTCAGGCGGTTCCTCTTAGTGACCCAGATCCTCCAGCTAATCTATATAGCCGTCTCATTACCTAAATAGCTCGGCTCTGTGTTGAAGTACCCAGTCAACTGTGCACCTGCCACTCAAAAAGTAGAAAGAATTGACACAGCAAACCTGCACTGGTACTTTACTACAAAATAATTTATTACAGCAAACACAGCTTCATCACAAGACTATGTACAAGCACAAAGCACCTGACTACCCTACTAGGGAACTCTCTTCTTCCCCCTTGCCTTACGGACCTCTTCTATCAAATCTTTTAGATACTGAATCTCTTTGGCAAGAGAATCTGCCTTCTCTTTCAGGGCTTCGTTCTTCTTTTCTAGCTCCTTACACTCGCCAGTGAGGGCTTCCTGCTCAGCCCGCTTCTTCTGACGGTATCTAGTGGCTGCTGTCTTGTTTTGCTCCATTTTTTTCAGCTTCTTATCCAACTTTTCAATTTTTACCTTAGCTGTCAAAGTAACTCCAGGGGGGTCATAAGGTTTGGGTCGAGGAGACCCACGGGGAACACCTGGAGAAGGCAGACTGCTTGGTGATCCCCTGGAGATGGAGGGGCTGTGCTGGGGAGAACCCAGGTAGGACTCAGGGCTCATACAGATGCCACTGTCATTATCTGAGGGGGTGTCTTCATCCTTTACACACTGAGGGATTAGAGTAATGTAAGAAGCCGAGTCAGGCTTCCTATCTCCTTCAGAGATATCAACTTCACTGCCTAGCTCTAAACTGAAGGAATGATCTGGAGTGGAAGACAGGACCCCTGGGGAACAGGGGAAAGGTTGCAAGAATGCAAAGGGGGCAACCTGGTCGGTTTTTGTTGCACTTTCTGGGAGATGGCCAATTGGGTTCACTGTCATGGGCTCCTTATTAGTCTCTTGGACTAGAGGGGCAAAAATATCACATGTGTCATCAAACGTGGCCAAAAGCTCATCTGGCATGGTTTCCAGGTCATCCATACGAAACAGAGCATCAAAGTCAAACTCTTTAAGATCCATTTTCTCCAACATCCAATCTGTCCCGGAGAAAGCATCCTCTGCAACCAAAAAAAAAAAAAGAGTGAATGACTAGGCCACATACTCAAGGCAGAAAAAAAATCATCAGAACACCAGACCCAATAAAAAGAGCACTCGGGAGCAGGTGTCACACTCACCCTTGCCGGTGTCTGAGGCACTGACCAACCCATCCACAGCCAGCCATTCGGAGGAGCCGGCCTTAGCCTTGTCGCTGGAGAACCCATGAGGTTTGAAGTGCTTGGCCACCTCCAGGTAGTCATCTAAGAGACCTAGGCTTTCTTCAGCCCCCAAACCCGACTGGTCGAAGGGGGACATCAAGTCCCCCGCCAACACTTCGCTGTTCAGGAAGCTCATCTCGGTCATGTTGTAGGGCTTTGCTGGAATCGAGGAATGTGCTTAAATCGAAGGTATCTTTGTCCGTTACAGCAACGCTGCTGCTGGATTTCGTGAAGAGCCTGCATAAGAATCCAAAAGCAAGCCCCATCATCTTTCTATCTAAAATGCAGAATGGCCAAATCCCAGAAGCCTCTGAATAGGGAGCACGTGGGCCCAAGGCCATTGTGTAAGCTCCCCCAGCCGCCGGCTCAGGTTGCACAAGATGGAGGCTCAGCCTTGCTTCACCGGCCACCCAGAGGAAGCAGTTGTCCTCGCCTCCTAATACGGCCATCGACGCCGCGCCCCGCCCCGCCCCTGTGACTCACACCCCTGCCCCGCCGCCATCTTGGCAGCGCCACGTTCGCAGGATGTCACTGGGACCCCGGCGACCTCGGGGTCGTTGAGCTACGTTGAGACGACGAAAGGGAAGCAGCAGGGTTGGAAGTTGTAGCGTTGGAAAAAGCAGCGCTTCCCCACCCCACCCCACCCCATCCGATCCCCACCCCCGCCGCCAGCGAGCGCCGGCGTCCCGGGGCCACACAAACAAGACCGACGCGTCCAGTCGCTCATAAAGCCGCGTATGGTGGTCAGCGCGCCCCGGCCGCAGGCCGCGCCCAGCCCCAGCAAAGCACACGCCCTGCAAAGCCGGCCCAGTACTCACGCCATGGCTTAAGCCGGTGGGGGCTGCCGCTGCAGAGCCTGGTGCTGCTGCCGCCGCTGCAAAGGCCAACGCTGCCGCAGGCACTGCTGCCTCTAATACGCCATGGTGGCCGCAATCCCTGCGGGAGGGGGAGAGGAAAGGCGCAGCAGCGTAAAGATCTTCATGGGTCGGAGAGAAAGGAGAAATGGCCGCGACACGCCCTGCACACCCTCTTATATAGTGCACGGGACGCAGCACACCGCGCATCCTCCCGCCGTGATCACATGACCCTGCCGCAGACCCACCCAACTGCGTCCCATTGACGTCTTGGCCCTCCCCAACCCTCCTCCACTGTGCTCGGGGGTAGCTGTGGAGTTAACAGACTATCCTGAAGGCCCCATGAAAAGAGAAAAGTACACTACTTTACAGGTTTACGGCTAGCCGAAGTCACGTGTCGCCGCGGAGGGATCTCTCGATACAGAACTTCCGGTGTTAGTTCACCAGGCGGGGAGAAGTACTTAGCCAAAGCTATTACCGTCAAAGCCGAGGCGGCCTGGTTATCACGCGAGACGCCGATCGAGCGCGCGTCGAGCTGATTGGCCCAAGCGTGGCGAGTCATGTAAATCTCAAGTTCCTATTGGCTCCGAACATGCCGCTGTACGAGCGAGCACTAGGTCTGTGCGGGAAGGGCGGAGCCACCAGAGATTCCCGCCGCCAAACTGTCATACTTTCCGGCTCTTGTTAGGGGTGACCCTGCTCCAGTGGCTCTCTCATGCATCTTTGGTCTAGCACGCAGCAAAAAATCCTCCAAGCGTGACCCTTGCGCGAGAAGCCCTCCCTCCCCATATTTGGTGTTCCCGGGACCAAATGGGCAGGTTTTCGGCCGCCTGTAGAGGCCCTCCGAAGTTACCTGGTCCGACCTTTCAGACTCCTGATCTGTCCGAGGACCGCCCTTTGAGGGAGGGACAGAGCAGGGCGCTCATGTTGGAGCCTCATTGGGAGATATTCTGGTTCCTGTAGCTCGCATCTCTCCTCTGAACTCTGTACTGGGAATATATGCCTAACCTCAGGCCTAAACATGCCCGTCCTGCCATCATAGGGCTGCTTGCTGACATAGGGTCAGTAGCCTTAAAATCATGTTTTATTCAACTGGCTCTCAAGCCCCAGGGTAGTTTTGATTAACTCCTAACTTCAGGCATAGCTTCCCAAGAAGTTATCCAGATGTGCGAGCAGTCGCTTGATAAGTGGTAAGTGATGTAGCCCCAAGTCCTGATCAGAGCCAACCCTCCATAAAGGGTGCTGTTTTGGGAGTGCTGAGAGTCCCTCTTCTACACTCCAGCCCCTTAAAGGCAGAAATCTTGAGATTCCACTTCTCTTGAAGTGACTCACACAAATACCACTTCTAAGAGGGCTGGCTCAGTCGTTTGTTGGCTGGGGCATTTGGCTAAGTGACATCCACTCTGCACCCGTTTCCTTATCTGCAAAAGGAAGCTGTTTCTCCTTGTCCTAAGAAATATGTAAAACAACTGGCACAATGCCTGCCACTTAACAGCTCACTAATGACTTGCAAGCCATGTACTCTAGCACAATCCTAGCACTCAGGCCTCAAGAGTACCACAGTTCAAGGTCATCCTTGACGACATGGTTGAGATCAACCTGAGCTACTTGAGACTGGGGGGGGGGGGGGCAGTAATGATTGCTTTTGTTACTGAAACTCAGAACTTCTGACCCTGACCTAATTTCCAAGTCCCTATCTCCATGATTCATCCTGCTTTCTCCAAGGATGTTTTACTTTTATTGACTGAGACTAAGCCAAGTATAAACAACCAGAATTTGGAGCTGGAGAGATGGCTCAGGGGCTAAGAGCACTTGCTGCTCTTCCAGAAGACCCAGGTCCAGACCCAGCATCATTTGATGGTTCTGGTTGACTCACAACCATCCCTAACTCCAGTTTCAGGGTATCTGATGCCCTTTTTTGACCTCTGTGGGCACCAGGCACGCACATGTGGGACACATGCATACATGCAGGCAAGGCACTCATAGACACAGAATAAAATAAATAAATCTTTAAAAAAAATTTAGAAAAATTTTAAAAAACCATTAAAAAGCCAGGCGGTGGTTGTGCCCGTTTTTAATCTCAGCACTTAGGAGGCAGAGGCAGGCAGATCTCTGTGAGTTTGAGGCCAGCCTGGTCTACAGAGTGAGTTTCAGGACAGCCAGAGGTACAAAATAAAACCCTGTCTCAATAAACAAAACAAAACAAAAAATACAACAACCGGAATGCACAAGGCCTGCATAATGGGGTGTTTCTTATCCCCAAAGAAATCTCGAGTGCATGTGCAGACATACAGAAGTTGTTTAGTCCCTTCATGCAAAGGCACCAAAAGCTTAACTGTCTTCCCTTTGCTCTAGGAAGGCTCCTGACATAAGGCCATGCAGAAGGTTAAGAAACACTGACCCTGATTTGACACTACAGAGGTCACAGGAGAATGTGTGGTGGCTTCTTTTTCCCCATCCTACTACAGAGATCCAAGTCAAATGCTTTAAGCTGAAAACAGAGCTAGCCTAGCACCCATGTAAGGAAATACTCCATACCACATACACACATCAGAGCTGTTGGAAAGGAGATTTTTATTTTCTTCTTCCCGTGCTGCAGAAGATGCTGTTTTCCCCAGTTGAATTTCCTCCTTCAAGGAGAAAAAGGAATAAAGGTTCTCTGGGCCTCAAAGCTAAGCTGCTCCTATATGGACCCAGCCCAGACAGGACACAATTGGTGACTGGTTCCATTCTACCAGCTTACCACACTGAAATCTTGGCAGGGCAGGCACAAAGGCAAGGTGTGGACCTGGCCTCAGACCAAGAGTTTAAAGACTAGAAGGTAATCAAAATAAAAGTTAACACCCATCTCACCCCCAGTCTGCAGTTAAATACTGAACCTACATCCTGGTATTTTGGCCATTTATAAGTCTAAGAGGCTTACAACCTCCCAGCCTAGTACAAGGGTAAACTCTAGTCCCAAGTGCCTCTCCATTTACCTTAGCCTTGAGCTTTTAAGCAAAAAAAAAAAAAAAAAATGCTAGAGTTGTAGCAGATGCTCTCAGTCTTACCAAGTCGTAATCCCAAGGAAGTGTACCTTGGCAGAAGGCTCTGAACACATGGAACACCCTTGCTCTCAGGGTCCCTCAGGGCCTTGTTCCTGAAGCTGATTCACCTCAACCATCTGAGCTCTTTAAAGGGAGGATTATGGTAGAGTAAAATCAGCCAGGGCCTTGCCCAAGGAGATGAGGCGTCTCCAATAGTTTTTCCATTTTATTTTTTAAAAAGTCTCAACTGTTAATATGAAGAAAAAAACTGCTATCCTGAATTCCGTGTTTGAGAGAAAGGGCAACAGAGAAGAACCAAACGAAACTTGGGATTTGCTTGGTTACCTAGGTACTGAGTACAGCTTCAGGCATCAAGCATGGAGTCTGGGAGGTACTGTAGAGAAAGGCAGGGTGGAGGCACAGCCTCTGGGTCTTCCGACAGTGACGCTCCATCCAAGCGTCCCAGAGCATCTGCCACCTCCCATACATATGACAAAGAAAGTGACAGCAAAGAGGAAGGCCCGCCCAGCTAAGAACAACCCACAGGGCAGAGCTGTTCCCCTCTCCTTGTTCTGAGGACTTCTAAGATGGCCAAGTCAAAGCACAGTCCAAAGTCAAAGCTGCTCCTGAAGACAGGAGACAAATTCACTGTTTGCCTAAATTCACAATGACATACGGCTGTGATTATTTGGGATATTTAACATCTCAAGCATCTTCAAATTTGGGGGCTTTGTTTGCACTCTTTCCGGTATCTTAAATAGAATCGGTTCAGAGATGACAGCTTGGGAAAGTCTTATAATACTTACAACAGGAAATTCAACTCTATCTAAACAAAATCTGATTTTGCAGCAGTCTATCAACACCCCCCCCCCAACAGGCACCAGCTAGAACCTTGGTCCCCTCAATGTCAGCCCTTCTATACCTACTCAGTCTAACCTAGGCAACACATGTCTTCAACTCCCATTTCATTATTATGAACAGCCAGGGGCATGTTTCATTGAAGGTTCTTAAGGTTCTTGGCTTTCTCTTTTTCAAGTTTCTCATACTATCTTACACAAATCAAAGAGAAACTCCTGAAGGAGTCTTTACATATATACGGGAGAAGAGGCAGAAAACTAAATAGAGCCTGGCTCACACCTCCTAACCTATGGGGGGGGGGTGGCAGGTACCTATCTCTACCCTAATTTCAAGTGGGTTGCCCAGGGTCAGTGCCATTTATAGTCACTCATTCCCCCTCATTAGGAAGGGCCAACACAGCTGCAGAATCACACTGCTGGAGAGGTAGTAACAGGTAAAATAGAAAGACTTGATGGAGAACAAATGCTAGACGGGCGAATAGAACCAGATACTGTCAGCCTCTTGTCAGGAACGGAAGAAAAAGACACACTGACATATTAAACACCTCCCTTCCCCCAACCCGTAGGATACGATTACATGGCCATACATATGGATCTTAGCAGCAATGTGGGAAGCCCCAACTCTTTCCTGTATGTCTTATCTATGTACTATCCTCCTAGGTAGCACCAATCTCCCCAGGAGACAGGCGAGGGACGAGGGCTGGCATGTCCATGTGCCCTCTGGCCTGTGGAGGTACCTACAGTGCTCAGCAAACACTCTCTCAGATCGCTGAGGACAGGGGTCAGGTGAGAGGCATTGGCCCTGGGTATGTTCTTGCTCTAAGGCAACATTTAAGAAAGGTAGAGCCTGTCAAGAAGAAAACATGGTCACTGGGTTTCAGCTGACACTCAGCTTCCTGTAGCCCTCCCTTGGCCTCTACTGCTAAAACAAGGCCTTCTTCTGTTGGCAATAAAGGAAACCAGCATCCTTGGAGGTGCTGCCTGTGAAGCCCCCCAGCCTTCCCTGTCTGTGTGACTTTAGTGACCACAGACAGAAACAGTCAGTGGGAACACAGAGCCCCTCCTCCCCCATGCTGCCATAAAACAGCACAATCTCCAGTAAAACAACTGCATCCGGCTCCGGCTGTGGGGTCAGTGCACCATCCCCAGGTGAAAAAGTCTTAGCACAAATAAACAGGAGTTGCTTGGGAGAGGGGAGGGGAAAGGGAAGAGCTTGCTTTCCAGGAAGCAGAGTCAAAGGCTGATTTGCCAGGGCAGAGACTCTGCCAGCCTCCCCCCGGAAATCTAAATACTGTCTCATTACTCTGCAGAGCTCAGCTTGAAAACATGCAATCAGCTCTTGTGTACAGACCACAGGCGACATCTTCATTAGGCAGACGTGCTCCAGGGGCAGAGCAAACAGGTGTGACCAAGAAAGGGAAAGACAGAGAAGAGCAAATAAGAGGCCAAAAGGCAGAAGAATGTAGAGAAGACAGAAACGCAAGAAATTTGGGGCAAAAAAAGAGACACCCAACAGCTGAGGCCAGCACTCCACCTTCTCTGTTCGTTCCAGAAAGATCAGCCTAGAGCAAGGCGGCAGTAGGGAGCACAGTGTTTGGTAACAAAAATAGGGAAGGGTGGGGAAACCAAAGGGATGTCATTCTAATCAGCATGAAGTGACCAGGACAACGACCAGCAAAACAGGAGGCACCTAGGGACCCTGTGAGGCAGCAACCATGTAGCCAAGTGTTTCTAACGGAGACTCTGGGTCTGATCACCCGATGCCCACTCCGGCCTTCACCTGCCCTACGTCTGCAGCAGCGCCTCCGGCTCAGACAACGAGCAGTAGAGAGTATATCCCAATTCGTCTATTTCTTGAGGGGTGAGCTCTGCAAATAGGTTCACCTTGGGGTTCAGGGCACTGGGCAAGACTCCAGCCTCCAAGTAGCTGATGAGTCCCCTCAGAGCCTGCAGGAAACGGTCGGCCAGCATGTCTGGAGACCAGTCAGCCTCCTCCTGGGCCAAGTGGAGGATGACATTGGTTAGCTGGCTGGCAGTGAGGTGGCCCAGAGCTGGAGTGGACTTGCATACGGCCTTGAGGATCTTGAGGCACAGAGACCGACAGCCCGAGTCGGCCTGGTCCAAAGCCCGTAAACGTGCCGTCTCAGCAGGACGCAAGCTCAGCCGCCACAGGTTAGCATACTGAGCTAACCGGTGTGGCCTGGCCACTAAGACAGTGTCACCAAGGGTCACTGACGGCAGGAAGTCAATGACAAGATGTTTGTCCTTCTCATACTGTACTTCTAGTGTCAGGGCCCCTGGGGGTGGTGCTGGTCGGATCACACAGTCCAAGAGGGACCCTATGGCTGGCCAGTTGATAGAGCCTGCCACTACCTTCTCAAATGTGTCTGCCACCGTCTTTGGGGAGAGGTAGCCGCCTACAACACAGCGGTCCCAATAACTGCTACCACGAGGAAAGTACTCTGGGTTCTCACGGCGGACCAGGAAGAATCCAGGCATGTTCATGATGGTGTCCTCGCCAGGTATGCATGACCACAGGTTCTGCTCCAGCACAAGGGGGACAATGAGTTGGATGTGATCAGCTGTCACCACCTGCCAGAGCAAATTAAAAAGGGTCGGTTTTGATTTAATTTGTTATTACAGTTGAGTGTGTGCATGTGCACACATGTAACGCGTCATGGCATGTGGAGGTCAGAGGTAACTTAGAAGTCAGTTCTCTCCTTCCACCATGTGGGACTCAGGGACTGAACTCGGGTCATCAGATTTGGTGGCAAGCACCTTTACCCACTGAGTCATCTCACTGGCCCCAGAATTAACAAGGTTTTTAAGGGCTTTGCTATTCATAAGACATGCTACTTACAGCACAGATCTTCACACCCTGTACTTGCCACAGTAGTGGAAACCAATGATTCAATTAGCACACAGGAAACAGGACAAGAAGACAATAAAGGACAGGTTGTGTACGGCTACCCTGGTTCGGGCTTTGGGGTTTTTTTTTTGTTTATCTTTGAGGCAGGATGTCATATAACCCAGGCTGGTCTCAAACTACATGGCTAAGGATGACCCTAACCTTCTGATCCCTCTTCCCCCTGAGAGCTGAGATGACAGGCCTGGGTCACTATGCCTGTTTTATGCATGCTGGGGATTGAACCCAGGGCATAATACAACTAAGCTATACCAACTGAGCCACATCCTCAGCCCCTATAGCTTCTTAAAAAGTATAAGTATGACTTAAAAAGTGAGAAAGGACGGAGCAGAGAAAAAATACTGCTGTGGGGCAGGATTTACAAGCAAGAGGCTTTCCAGTTGAGGCCCAGACACAGTGACTTTCTTGAGCAACCACAATACTGAGAAGTATCTGTCTGTGCCCAGTCCCACCCTTCCTAAGAACTCTGTTACCTGCAGATCATCATAGAGGCTGCCACTCAAGTACATGTCCCGAAGTGGCATGTCAGGCAGCTTGGCCCGCAGGAAGCTCCGGAGCTCAGCACATATGTCCACCGCTGCTTGCTTGGCCCGAGCCTGCTCTCCAGCAGGGATGGCCGCCCGGTTCCGGTAGTAAGAAAGAAGTTTCTCCTGCAGGGACATGCGGAGTCGTGACTTCTTCAAGTCTACCTGGCCCCTCCTGGCCAACGGTTTGGGCCGGGGTGGGCAGAATGTATCTGCCAAGGCAAGAGAGAGAGGAATGTGAGCTCTGCCCAAGCTTGCTCAGTCCACAGAAGTCCTAGTCCCAGGAAGGAGAAGGACTTGGCCCAAAGGGCAAGTTGCCTGACATTCCGTGCTGAGAAATGTCTCCCCATGTCTAAGTGCAGAGCAGGCCCAGAAACTTGGAGGAGTCTCTCACCTGTGTCAAAGGCAGCGGAGTCTGAGGGAAGAGTCTGCAGGGACCGGCTTAGGCCTGTCTTCATGTCCTTGTTCAGCAGTCGAGGGGAGCCCATCCAGTTTGGCTCTTCCCAGCTCCTCTTCCCTGAATGGCTCAGGCGGGTGGGGCTGGTAGGGGCACTGATTGCCCGATCATACATCTGTAATACCAGAGAGGACCCAGGACATACACCAGCCCTCCTCCTCCCCCAGACTCTTTGCCCTACTAAGTTCTAGAAGTTTTTTGTTGTTTTGATAGTGGTCCTGGGCATGGAACCCAGGTCCTTGTGCTTGCTGGGTAAACCACTCTACCACTGAATTACATGCCCAGACAATTATTTTTTCCACTTTACTACAAGTCAATTTTACTTAAATCAGGATTGTCCAACAAAATCACAGCCATTCATGATCTGAATTCTGGTATATGAATTAAATTATGGTATACATGCCAAGTGGTAGTGGCGCATGGTTTTAATTCCAGCACTTGAGAGGCAGAGCGAAGCAGATCTCTGTGCGTTCAAGGCCAGCCTAGTCTACCAAAATAAATAAATAAAATTGCGGTATACATAAAAAAAAATGTGTTTTATAATCAATAAGGCATTAGTGTTACTCATTAATCACCTTTTTAAGAATAAACTATCAGTCTGCCCTTTCTCCCTTCTTCTTAATTCCGGCAAAGATCACTTTTGTTCCAGTTATGTACTTTTGGGGATTCTCCAAATGCTCCATCATGATGTCCTCTCCCCAACTGATGCCTTTGCTCTTGTTGGCATCTGTGTCAGAGAAGCCCGTGGCTGACCTGTCTTCCGCCCAGCAGACCATGAAGGTTTGGCCCACTCTTATGCTTGTCTCCCTTTTCCACAGTGTGGCACTGGGCACACTTCTAAAGAAAACTCTTCTTGCCTTTTGATACATCACCTGTTTTTGCTGGTAGCACACAATTTTAATCCCAGCACTGGGGAGGCAGAGTCAGGTGGATCTCTATGAGTTCAAGGCCAGCCTGGTCTACAGAGTGAGTTCCAGGACAGCCAGTGTTAGACAGAAAAACAGTCTCAAAAACAAAACACAACAAATAAACAAACAAAACAAAAAAGAATCACCCATTTTTAATTGGATACTGGCTGGTAAACACCACAAATGGTAGGATCCAAGGACAGACATCCCACTCTCTCCTCAGCCATTTTTTTTTAATAATTTTGTTTTAGTCTAGACTGTAGAGTATATTGCTCCATGCAGAAAAGCTCAGGAAATATTAAACGCTACAAGAAATAATTTACCCACAATGCCACAACCCACAGGAAACTGTTAATATGTGTTGTATTTCTTTCTGGAGATATTTATGCCATCTAGATCAGACATTTTTTTCTAGATCAGATATTTTTTTATTTTGTACATGGGTATATGTGTGTGCATGTGCACATACCCCAACGTGTGTGTGAATGGACGACTTTGGGGAGTCACTTTTTTCCTTCTACCATGTGGGTCCCCGGGATCAAACTCTGGTTGTCTGGCTTGGGGCAAGCACCTTTACCTAGACTTCTGAAATCACATTTCCCCTTTTTGGTCATTTCTTCCAATCACTAAAGACGCTTCAATATTTTCTAACTATACAACATTATTCCTTAAGAATATTCCCTGTTGAACAGTTCTTCACAGACTTGGAAAGAAAAATACTCAACTTCATATGGAAAAACAAGACCCAGGATAGCTAAAAGAATCCTGTATAATAAAGCAACCTCCTGAGGCATCACCATCCCTAACCTCAAGCTCTACTATAGAGTTATAGTAATAAAAACAGCTTGGTACTGGCATAAAAACCGACATACAGACCAATGGAATCGAATTGAAGACCCCGACATTAATCCACACATATGAACACCTGATTTTTGACAAAGAAGCCAAAACTATACAATGGAAAAAAGAAAGTATCTTCAACAAATGGTGCTGGCATAACTGGATGTCAATATGTAAAAGATTATAAATAGATCCATATCTGTCAGCATGCACAAAACTCAAGTCCAAGTGGATCAAAGACCTCAACATAAATCCAGTTACACCAAACTTAATAAAAGAGAAAGTAGGAAGTACTCTTGAACATATTGGCACAGGAGATCACTTCCTAAATATAACACCAGCAGCACAGACACTGAGCACAACAATTAATAAATGGGACCTCTTGAAACTAAGAATATTCCCTGTTGAGAGGGCTGGGGATGTTGTTCAGCAGCAGAGTGCTTACCTAACACTCCATGGTGAACACTGATTTATTTATTCCACAAGTAGTTACCAACTGTTCCTGAGTATCACCAGAGGGTTAGTCCCAGGACACTCCAAGCATATCACAATCCTTAGATGTCTTAGGTCCCTACAGGAAATGGTACTATAGCTGAGTATAATAGTCCATGCCTAAAGCCTCAGTCAGGAGGCAAAGGCAGGAAGATTTGAAGTTCAAGGCTACATAGTGAGTTCCCAGCTAGGCAGGCTACAGAGTAAGACCTTATCTCAAAACAAACAACAGGGACAGTGAGAAGACTCACTTGCTCCCCACTAATGCAAGTCTGTATCCAATCCCCAAAACCCATATAAAGGTAGAAGGTGAAAACTGACTCCACAAAGTTGTCCTCTGACCTCCACTGTGCACCTGCACACAAGTATTACACACCAATAAAATACTTTTTTAAAAAGTCATTGTACTTGTATATAACCTGTGCACAACTTTATATGTATTTTAAATTTTATATTATCTAATACAATGTAAATGCTATGTAAATAATTATCCTGATTGCTTAAGGAATGACCCCAAAAAATTCTGTACCTATTCAGTGTAAATATAATTTTTTTTGTTTGTTTTTCAAGTCAGGGTTCCTCTGTGTAGCTCTGGCTGTCCTGGAACTCACTCTGTAGCCCAGGCTGGCCTCGAACTCAGAGACCAGTCTGACTCTGCCTCCCGAGTGCCAGGATTAAAGGTGTGAGCCATCACACCCAGCCATGCAAAAAAGTATTTTCAGTCTGGTTAACTGAAGCTGTGATACAGAGCTCACAGACTAAGAGGGCTGTCAGTATTTCAGAGATCCTACATGCTAAGCACTGTTCTGAGCTTCTAGGGGTGTCCAGTCTACCCGGAGGGTAAAGTTCAACACAAAGTATGCAGATAGAGATAAATGTTTTAAAAATAAGAGTAAGAAAAGGAAACAGAAGTATACGTGTGGCTAGTATTTTAATTCAGGTCACCAGGGAAGGAAGGGTAGTTGGGTTAGTTGCTGTGTTTTACTTGCTAGGATACATTTCTTTACATCTCAGTGATCTCTTTATGGCAGAAGCCTAGAAGCAGACTGCCAGAGGAGTAAATTATACTCGCATCAGAGTGTCAGAGGTAGAGGCAACTCACTACCTCCCATCCTGGGACCAGGCCGAAAGCACTTACCCGCTTAACTGCCAGGGTAGCGATGCCCAACATGGCTGCTCCACCAACACCCAGCACCAGCCGGGCATTGGAAAGCACAAAATCAATGGCTGTGCCGATGCCATTGTCATCCTTCTTGCCTTTGCGCTCACCAGCGCCTGCCATTGCTCACCTGAGAATGAAAACAACACAGCCATCACCAATGGGGACCACGAGAACCATTCCTTTCTGCCCCTCCGCACCGCAATCAAGGTTACTGCACGCAAAGGCTAGGACTGCGTACTCTGGGGTCCAGGAGAGGCACCATGTCCCGTGACTCACCTGGACACACAGGAAAAGAAATGCTAAGGTAGACCACAGAAAAGTCTGTCTACAGACCTGAGACTAGAGCAAACGTTCAGTTCATTATCAATCCGATTTCTGTGCTGCAGGAAAGTATTCCACCATACAATACAAGCCTCCCTACTCCTTTACAATGTGGTGTTGCTAGGAAGACAAGGTCTTCCTTCTTTAGCCATTGCTTTGGGAATGTTAGGATTAAGAAACAGATAGGCATGGTGACACACGCTTATAACCCCAGCACAACAGAAGCCACATTAAAAAAACAAGACTCACCAGGCGGTGGTGGTGCATGCCTTTAATCCCAGCACTCAGGAGACAGAGCCAGGCGAACCTCTGTGAGTTCGAGGCCAACCTGGTCTACAGAGCGAGATCCAGGACAGGCACCAAAGCTACACAGAGAAACCCTGTCTCGAAAAACCAAAAAAGGAAAAAAAAAAAAAAAAAAGACTCACTGTCAAATCCAAAAATACTCTCTCCCGCTATACTCACACTATGGCACTTCCCTTTTCTCTACCTTTGACTTTCAATTAAAATATATTCCTACTTCAAATGCAAAGAGAATCAGGCAAAGAAGTGTTAAACACAGTACATACATGTAGAGTCAGAAAGAGAGCTATTCACCATCCTTCCAGCTACCACTGCGACAGAGATGGGACAGGAAACCCAGTGGAGGCAGAGGATTCTCATCAGCAAAGACAGGTTACTCACACTGCCACACAACTAGCAATGACCTCTGTTTTATTTATTTATTTATTTATTTATTTATTTATTTATTTATTTATTTATCTATCTATCTATCTATCTATCTATTTATTTATCTATCTATCTATTTATTTATTTTTGGTTTTTCGAGACAGGGTTTCTCTGTGTAGTTTTGGTGCCTGTGCTGGATCTCGCTCTGTAAATTAGGCTGGCTTCGAACTCACAGAGATCTGCCTGGCTCTGCCTCCCGAGTGCTGGGATTAAAGGTGTGCACCACTGTTTTATTTTTTTTTAATAATTTATTTATTCTATGTACATCAGTGCTTTGCCTGTATGCATGTCTGTGTAAGGGTGTCAGATCTTGGAGTTACAGACAGTTGTTAGCTGCCCTGTGGGTGCTGGGAATTGAACCCAGGTTCTCTGAAAGAACAGTCAGTGCCTTTAACCACTGAGCCGTCTCTCCAACCCCCAAACCTCTATTTTAAGAAAAACCTTTACAAATAGATTTACAAGGCCTGGTGGTGGTACATACCTTTAATCCCAGCACTGGGGAGGAAGAGGCAGGCACGTCTCTAAGTTTGAGTTCCAGGACAGCCAGGGCTACACAGAAAAGCCCAATTTCAAAAAAAGAAAGAGAGAAAGAAAGAGACTTATTTCTAACAGGGAGAAGCACTGGATGCAGAGCCCTCGAAACCATCCTTTAAAGCAACAGCAGGACCAGAGGGTACCTCTTCCTTCTAAGTCGAAGCCAGCAGAGGCCTCACTGAGCCTGTCAGGCCTTGGCCCTGCTGACGACTGAAAGTTCAAGGTAGGTACAGCGTAACCGTACAACATGGGTTTTAGAGTCAGAAATTCTGAGACCTGAGTACTTGCCTTGGGCCTGAGCTAATTTGTTGGGTGACCCAAATGAGTCCCTTAGCCCCTCAGCTATGAAATGGGGATAATGATCGCTTCATGGGCCCAAACCACAGGGTTGTAGTGAGGAAAAGCACTGGTTGCAACACCGAGTCCAAGTATTTCATCTGCTATAAACCCAGCCTACAAGTGACGGCTGTCATTAAGTCAAGATCTCCATCCACCAGACAGAAGGGCTGTAACAGACTGTCCAGTTACACTGCCTGTTTTGAGATGAAGTTCAAACAGCCTCAAAAACACACTGAAATTCTCCTGTGCTTGAGCTCAAAACTGGTACGCAGAGCAGGCTTGCTAAAGGCTTCCCTGATAATCTACATCAATACTCTCATCCCGACCCAAGGACCCAGTGGCATCATATACCCGATGACCTGGAAGAGAGCACCCACAAGCTCCAACAGGGAGACAGGTCCTTATTCTAAACCTTCTTTATTCAGGTTACTGTCCCTCCATTACCTACCGATTCTGCTGCCTTCAACCTCCAGGAGACAAGAGCTCCCCTGGCAAGGAGAGTCGGGCTTGGTCCCTCAGGACAAGCAAGGAGGAACACTGTGTTTAACAGGTACAGTTTCAGATTAGCCAGATAAAAGTTCTGAAAACCTGTTGCATAATACTACTGACCTGTTCACTTAAACCACCTAAGATGGCTGGGGTTTTTTTGTTTTGTTTTGTTTTAAGATTTATTTATTTAATAAATTATTATTTAATAAAACATTAAAATAATAATAATTTAATGTACATTGGGAGTTTGCCTGCATGTATGTCTTTATGAAGGTATCAGATCCCCTGGAAGGGGAGTTACAGACAGTTGTGAACTGCCATGTGAGTACTAGGAATTGAACCCAGGCAGGCCCTTTGGAGGACCAGCCAGTGCTCTTAACTGCTGAGCCTCCACTCCAGCCCCTAAGAAGTCTTTAAAAAAAAAAAAAATTGAAAGAAAACACTAACCTGGCAGAAGGCTGGAAAGAATTGCACTCTGTGAACACTTCAAGCAAGTTTTATTCAAACTATTTCCCCTAGACACAAAAATAAGAAACCCTGTCTTACCACTGTGGAAATCAGTATGGCGGTTTCTCAGAAAATTGGGAATCGATCTACCCCAAGACCCAGCCATACCACTCTTGGGCATATACCTCTACTGTTGGTGGGGGTGCAAACTTGTACAACCACTATGGAAATCAGTATGGCGGTTTCTCAGAAAATTGGGAATCGATCTACCCCAAGACCCAGCCATACCACTCTTGGGCATAGACCCAAGGAATGCTCAATCATACCACAAAGATACATGCTCAACTATGTTCAGAGCAGCACTATTTGTAATAGCCAGAACCTGGAAACAACCTAGATGCCCGTCAACTGAAGAATGGATTAAGAAAATGTGGTACATATACACAATGGAGAACTACTCAGCAGAGAAAAACAATGACAGCATGAGGTTTTCAGGCAAATGGATGGAACTAGAAAATGTCATCCTGAGTGAGGTAACCCAGACTCAGAAGGACAAACATGGTATGTACTCACTCAAAAGTGGATACTAGATATAAAGCAAAGGACAGACTGCAACCCACAGAACCAGGGAGGCTATATAGCAGGGGAACCCTAGGATGATTGTGGCTTATAATAAATTTTGGTTTTGCCCAATCACTGGACATGCTTTAGTGAAACATTTCACTATTAGGATAAGAATTTGTACTGTATCAAGCTGATGAAAGAATATGCTGGCTGTACTTTCAGGAGGGGAGGCTAAAATCTTTTTAGATTATGGATTAGCCTATAGAAAAATGTCTGCTGTAAATCAAACAGTGAAGGGGAAGATGAATAGAAATCTCACATATACAACTTAAGTAAAACATAGCTCTCTGAACAGATGAAGATAGGTTTCTTCTGTATCCCAGAATCTAACCAATATTTATATGTATAATTCAGCTATTATTTGGCTTAAAAGGGTTTATTGGGAAATGTTATCATTTTTACTATTCTCTACAGAGAAAATATTTTCCACTTTCAAATAACTCTGGACTTTAGAATTATTACCTGTTTTTATGTTCAAAAAAAAAACATTTAAATGGAAAATGCTGAAGGACCACTGAACTCGATGTTGTATTTACATATCTATATCTGTATAAAATAATGATTATGAATGTTTGTTTAAATAAATAAATAAAAGAAATCCTGTCTCGCATGGCCTTCAATTGTTCAGATCCTATGGTCTTGTCTGTTTGGTGGTTCTGAATAGCTAGGGTAGCCAAGACCTGAGAGCCATAGATTCAGCATCAGTTGAGGATTCTTGTTGCTCCATACTTCCAAGATGGTGCTGTTGTGGGATATTAGTACACTGTTGTAGTAGGACAGGCCCAGGGGGTCAAAATTGGCTCAAACCTGTTGCCAAGGCATGTACATAATGTACTTCCTTATGAGCCAACCTGGAGTCTGCCTGAGGGCCTAGCAGCAGGCACTGTCAGAGTTTCTGAGCGTGCCCAGCCAATGAGGGATGACCACGAAATGCCACCAGTTTGGGACACAGCTTAGGTGCTGGAAGGAGGGTATATAAGGCCTTCCCCATTATTGAATAAACGAGTCTGCTGTTTGCCTTCAAAAAAAAAAAGAAAAAACAAAAAGAAAAGAAACCCTGTCTGCCGGCGGCGGCGGCGGCGGCGGCGGCGGCGGCGGCGGCGGCGGCGGCGGCAGCAGCAGCAGCAGCAGCAGCAGCAGCAGCAGCAGCGGCGCACGCCTTTAATCCCAGCACTAGGGAGGCAGAGCCAGGCGGATCTCTGTGAGTTCGAGGCCAGCCTGGGCTACCAAGTGAGTCCCAGGAAAGGCGCAAAGCTACACAGAGAAACCCTGTCTCGAAAAACCAAAAAAAAAAAAAAAAAAAAAACACAAAAACAAACAAAACAAAATGACAACAACAACAAAAAAACTATTCCAGAAAAGGACATGTCCCATACCTGACAGGAAGAAATGACAACTCAGGGGCCAGAAAGACCCACACAGGAAGGCAGGCCTTGCTGGACTTCCCTCTCGATCCATCCTTATTAGATTTTTTTTTTTTTTTTTTTTTTTTTTTGGGTTTTTCGAGACAGGGTTTCTCTGTGTAGCTTTGTGCCTTTCCTGGGACTCACTTTGTAGCCCAGGCTGGCCTCGAACTCACAGAGATCCGCCTGCCTCTGCCTCCCGAGTGCTGGGATTAAAGGCGTGCGCCACCACCGCCCAGCTCCTTATTAGATTATACACCATATCCAGCCTATATCCACACAGTTGTCAATTACTGAACCTAACATAAAAACGAGCAACTCATCCCCAGTCTTTGGGCCTTCATTCTAAGTGCTCCACAGAGGTGGCAACTTGTCATTTCTTAAAGGGGATCAACCATGAGTCCTTCCCTAGAACCATGTCACCCAAGCTGGCCTCCAACTCCCCAGGTAGCCTCGATTTCCTAATCCTCCTGCCTCCTCCGAAGTGCTGTGATTACAGGCACATATGATCATATCTGGCTCTTATCTCCAATTTAAAGATGAAGAAACTGGCCAGGCAGTGGTGGCACATGTATTTAATCCCAGCACTTGGGAGGCAGAGCCAGGTAGATCTCTGTGAGTTCAAGGCCAGCCTGGGCTACAGAGTACGTTCCAGGAAAGGCGCAAAGATACACGGAAAACCGTCTCAATAAACCAAAAGAAAAAAAAAAAAAAGAAAAGAAAAAAGAAACTGAAGTACATGTTCTGTCACTAGCCTAAGAGTAACTTACACATCAGTAAAGTGTGCAGCCAGGGTTTGAATCTAGAGCTTATGCTGCTGGGAGAACTAATCCATGAGTCCCAACTAGTCTGCAACACCACCCCACCGCCTGTCTCTAACCACTAGACCTCTAAGCCACTATAGCTTCAAGGGAGCATTCCGGCACATTCACTGCTGCAAGAATGTAATGTTTGACATATTAAGTATCTACTGTAATGAATGAACTACCCCTATGGCACTGGAGGGGTTTTGTTTCGTTGATTTCATCCTAAGACACAGGCAGTTCTTTAGCCCAAACTGAAGAAATTTACTACCTGTCCCAGGCCTTTCCAGACATAAGCTGCTGTATGTCCCAGGCTGACCTGAAATTTACTCCCTACCCCAGGCTACCTTTGTGGTCCTCTGGCCTCAGCTTCCTGAGTACTAGGATTACAGGTTTATACCATCATACCTAGCTTTTCATTTTCCCTTGATGGCAAGATTTAAATTATTACAATTCACAATCAAAACATCAGAATGCATTTCAGTAACTCCCCACTTCTTCAGACCCATTTCCCTTCCCCGAGCATGCAGGATTCCATGCATACCACCCAACCCTGGTCCTGTACTGCAAAGGTGGGTCTACTGACCGATGGAAGTGTGACTGAGAACTGAGAGTCATTACCTAAGGTTCCTGCTTTCTGTCTCAGTAAGCATTACCCTCTACCCAACTGGCAAGCCTTATACCACAGTCATACTTTGTTTATGTGTATGTATTTTCCTCCTTTTCCTTGTTTTGGAACACCTATGTTGCCCAGGCTAGCTTCAAACTAAACTCCTCCTCCCTCAGTTTTCTGAGTGCTGGAATTACCAGGACGTATGATCATGGTCAAGCTTTATGTTTCAGCCTTTCCCCTTCTCTCTCAGTGGTCACAAGCCCTACTGTTGTCTACACTGTTATTTACATGTGAGCACCTCAGTACCTCCATCATCTGACCAAATTCACCACCTCTAGTGTCTCTCACCAATTTATCCTCCACACTACCCTGGCATACTCCAAAACACAAATGTTCCCATCGTTCCCTTCTTAGAAAGCTGTGACAGTCCCCCAGTCAGCTATTGCCTCCCTAACAGGAAATTCAATGTCCTTCCATCCCTGGCCCAACTTCAACTCCAGTCACTCCTTGTACCATTCTAACCACAACAAACCTGTTTCCCAGCTACAAAGTGCAGTTCCCACCTCCAGACATCCATTTATTTTCTCCCCACCACAGCAAGTTTCTGCTTCTCAAGGGAGACAGACCTCAAATGTTTTCCCTGCAACTATAATTCTCTCCTACCACCCAAACTAAGTGCGAGCTATCTTCATTCCTGTCTCCGTAACTTTTTATACAGTGCCCGCACAGCACTGTTCATACCAGAATTACTTCCCACCCAACTCCTCCTTAGGTTGGTGGTGGTTGTTGTTTTTAAGATTTATTTATGTATATGTATTTTGTTTGCAATATAATGTCTGTGGCCCATGTGTATGCCTGGTGCCCATGGAGGTCAGAAGAGGTCGTCGGATCCCTTGGAACTGAAGTTATAGATAGTTATGAGCCATCTTCTGGGTGCTGGGAATCAAACCTGAATCTTCTGCAAAAACAAGTGCTCATAGCCCTAGTCTACAGTTTAATGGACCCATCTTTATTCTCTAGCCCCAGAGTCTAGGCATATAAAGGGACCTCTGAAAGGTTCCTGAATTAAACATGGCCATTATGCCGCAGTGGGGCTTCCTGATGGCAATGTCTCCAAGAATAAAAAGAGCTAGGGCCAGTGAGATGGCTCAGTGAATAAACACACTTGCCAACAAGCCTGAAGACCAGAGTCTAATTGCCAAGACCCCCAAAATAGACAGAGAGAACCAACTCCCACAAGTCTTATGACCTCCACAAGCATGCTATGGCACATGTACCCACACCCGTGGTAAAAATGTAACTTTGATTTTAAGAAAATACAGGGCTAACACTCCACCTGCCAAGTACCATTTCAGTGCTGTCTGTCCACTGTCCAGGTCAATTCACAGAGAACCCAAAGAGATTAAGTACTATTACTTCCATTTCACAGATGATGAAATGAAGGCCTGGGGAGGCTTAGAGACTTAGCTACTAGTTAGCAGTGCCAATATTGGAAAACAGGCACTGAATATTATGATTGCTATGCCAATTATGCAGTGATGATAAACGCCTGTTTCAGGAAGTATGGTGCAATACAATATAAACTGAGCAGCGACTGGCTTGGAACTGAACTCTAATGACTTTAACCATTATCTTTTCTAATATTCTAATATATAGAATAGTCTATGAAATAAAATGATGCCAATTCTGTTTTGGTGTGGCTTGTAATCCAAGGCCCATGTTTCTCAGTAATAGGACCCACTTCTACTGACGCATCTGCATTTATCTAGTGAGTTTTAGAGAGTAAAGGACATTCTTTGATGATAAAGGAAAGGTCGCCCCTTTCCTAGCTTCTTACATCAGAAAAAAAGGAACTTCCAGGGTCAAGGGTCTACCTACCTGAGGTTTCCTAAAGCATCTGTGAGGTGGGGTGGGGGGAGCCAGGAGTCTCTACTGAAGGCACCTGTGTCCTCTTCTTGGAATCAGGGTAGGAGGGAAAAGAGAGGCTCCTAAATAAGGCCTCCGAGTCTGCTACGGAGGAAGACCAGGCCCTTCTCCAGCTGCTTCTCCCGAGCCTCTAGATCCTCAAGCTTCTGATTTTTTCTGAATTCACGGCGGATGGAAGCAAAGTAGAAGTCTCGATCAGTGTAGCGAAGCTCTCGGCCTTGGCGCAGCAGAGCCCGGTACAGACTCAAAACCGCCTCTCGGCTCCACGGGGCCATGGGGGACGACAAGCACTACACTCTAAACAGAAGACACAGAAGTCCAGAATCAGAATTGATGACGGCTGGGCCTTAGGCACCGGGTCAGGGAACCTTAATGACAGAGACTTCCAAGGACTTCATGGTAGAGCTAAGATCAGACGCCTAACTCTCAACACCCCCTCCTGGGGAAGGTCGGCTTATGTATGGCCTACTAGAGCTCAAGAAGTAGAATGCCTGAGCCTGAGTCCTGGCTGTGACATCCCACTGCCATGGTACTTAGTAAAATGTACACAAGCCCACTGAGTATCCCCTTCCTCGCTGTAAAACAGAGATAACGATCACATCCTGAGAATACCTACTATATAAGGTTATTTTGAGAACTCCTCCTGCAAAGCACCCGCAATGGATCTTTACCAGAAGGTATGGCCTAGGGTGATTAAAGACAAGGATTCAGCCATATCTGCATCCTGGCACCACCATATAAGGAGCATTACCTTGAGAGGTGAACTTCATTGTTGTTGTTTTAGTAACTTTTTTATTTTTTACTTTATGTGTATGGGTATTTGCCTGAATGCTTGTCTGCACACCACTGTATACCTGGTGCCTTACAAATCTAACCGTGTCATATTCTCGAGACTGGAGTAACAACAGATGGTTGTGAGCCAACATGTAGGTGCTGAGAATTGAAATTGGGTCCTCTGGAAATGCCATCCCTCTACCCCTTTGTTTTTTTTTTTTATTTTTGCTTTTGTTTATTTTGGGATTTTTGTTTTTTTTGTTTTGTTTTGTTTTGTTTTTTTGAGACTGGGTCTTTCTACAGAACCCTGGCAGTCCTGGAACTCACCATGTAGACCAGGCTGGCCTCGAACTGAGATCTGCCTGTCTCTGCCTCCGCCTCCGCCTCAAGAGCTGAGATTAAAGATGTTTGACAAGTAACCTAAGCGACGTTCCCAAAAGAAGTCATCTGCCCACCTGCCACAACAATCCAGACCCTAACTCGCTGGAATGAGGGGGGCCTTACATGTGTGCAGCACTTCCGGGTGTTCAGCAAACTTTCCCAGCCAGGGCCCAGTGCACAACAGGCTCATAACTATGCTAGATGGATGAATCCTCCCAAAATCCCTACGTGGAAGAAACGATCGTTGGAAGAGCCGAAATGTGTTGGAGGAGTGAAGGGAGTATTTAGTTGGAAAAGAAAAAAATGATCAGGACTTTGGGCCCCAAGACAGGAGCCTCCGACCTCTCTTAAACTTCCAGCGCGAACCTGGGCAAGCCACCGTCTCTGTCTCTTTCCCCCTAACTGCAGAGCAGCTCCCCTCGGCCCTAAGGGTCTCCGGTGATGCAAGAGACGCAGAAAAACAACGGAGGGCTGGAAGGACAGCGTCACGCATGGGCTGGAACAAGGTCGCTGAGTGACCGGCTATAGGCCCCGGTCAGGGTACAACTCCCGGAGGGCGGGGACGCAGACCCCGGGGCCAGTCAGGCTGGATGATCCCCGGTCTGAGGCGGGGCGGGACGAGGCTCGGAGGCCCCAGAGGGAGCCGGTAGCCTCGGTCGGCCCGAGCGCAAGAGGGCGATCCCCGGCCGCCCTGATTCGCTCCCTCACTCACCCGCGGGCCACGCGCTACCTCTCCTCAGGACTCTCCACTCGCCCAGTACCTCTCTCGGGGTCACCCATCAACATGGCCCCTTTACTTCCGGGGCACGACCTCGCTCGCCGGGCCGACGGAGACGAGGCAATGAGCACGGAGGCGGGCGGAGGCGGAAGGACTTCCGGTCTGCCCCTCCGCAGCCTCCCTCCGGGGGCGGAGCCGGGGACTCAGTCGGGCCCTGACCATCTCGGGGCTCCGCCCATAGACGCAGCCCCTCCTCCTTGCGTGACGTCACCTAACCCCCCGCGGGCCCCGCCTCCTAAAGCATCGCGGTGCAGGCTCCGCGTAGGCACTGCGCTGGGTGTGGGTCTGGGATGAGGGAGGGTCGTTGAGTCCTCGCCCTCCACCTGCTGCCAGCCTCTAGCCTGCGAGAAGCTCTGACCCGATGTGGATGTGGAGTTCGGGTGTTTAGGAATCTGGCCCCGGCCCAGCTTGAACGGTGAGATGACAGGCAGTTAGTTGTTCAGCAATGACCAAACTCAAATTGGACTAACACCCAGAAATGCCTTCATGAAACACCTACTGTGCTCCAGACACCGGACTGGATACTTCACACTGCATTTTGTCCAACCCAGCCTCCCTGTTGGGCAGGCATCATTACTCCAGTTTTACGGATGGGAAAATCAAGACCTAGAGAGGCTGGGTCATTTGTACTGAGGGCTGAGCCGTGCAGAGGCTCAGGGTGGATCCCAAATTCAGTCTTCCTCTAAAGTATGTGTCTTTTCGTTCTTGTAGGCTGCCCTACTTTGCCTTTTAAAGGAATGATTTTGTGGCCCAGATAAATCTAATTAGTGGCATTTCCAGCTGGAAGACCAGGTAACATTCATATCCTCCAGATGACTCATCATTAGAATAATTTTCTAATAGCAAAGGACGGGAGACCCTTTCCGGGAGATCTTAGGATTACCCATACACACACTGAGTCATCTTGGATGTCAGGGTCTTCATTTCCAGATTCACCAGGCTTCCCACACCCACCCCACACCTGCCCCATGCTCCCAGTGTGATGGGGGATGGGCATTAAAGTGTCATGTAGCACCCACATGTATCCACGGTGTTTGTAGGCCAGAGACCCACAGCAAAGGCACTGATGCAAACCTCAGGGTTCTTCTGTGTTTTGTAGAACATGAGCACACTGGGGTCCCCTGGACATAGTACAGGGTTGATAAAAAAAAAAAAAAATTTACATCATGAGGAATGTAACCAGTTCTTACAGGGATTGTGGCTCCAGAGGAGCATTCATTTACTCAAGGTGGCATTTCGCTGGAGAATGAGTAAATGGACATATTGCAGAAGGTCAAAGGTCCTGGGTCAAGGTGATGAAGTCTGTCAGATTTGAGAGGGGCCCTTTGGGCTGGTAGTGGGCAATGAGTTAAGTCTCCTGAGCCTTGTTTTACTCTTGATGAAATCTAGAAGATGAGAAAAGTACCACTTCAGCCCGGCGGTGGTGGCCCATGCCTTTAATCCCAGCCCTTGGGAGGCAGAGGAAGGTAAATCTCTGAGTTCAAGGCCAAGCCTAGTCTACATAGTGAGTTCTAGGACAGCCAAGGCTACACAAAGAAAACCTGTCTCAAAAAAAATAAATAAATAAAAAATAGATGAGTCTTCCCTTGTCGCTGAGTGATGGTGGCACATGTCTTTAATCCCTGCACTCTGGAGGCAGAGGCAGGTGAATCGAAAAACCAAAACCAAAAACTAAAAAAATAAAAATAAAAAATTCATTCTTTCTCACGCATGGTTGGCACAGGGGATACTGGGCCAGGAAAAAGATTTTGGAAATCCAGGACACCAGTTCCAGGACAGGACCTCAGGGAGAGTCCCAATCTGAGGGCCTTTGGAAAGCCTCTGTGACCATGGGTCTGGGTCTGGAGGGCCAAGGGAGGATGTTGTGGAAAAATGAGCACAACAGTGCTGGGTAGGTGACTCAGTGGGTAAATCACCTGCCCGAGGGAGGACCTGAGTTTGAATTCCCAGAATCCATGTTAAGCCTGATGTGGTAGCTTTAATTCCAGTGTTCCAGCAGCAAGATGGGAGGATGAAACGGGGGAAAAGGCCCTGTCTCAAACAAGGTAGAAGGTGAGGACAGACACTCTACATGGGTGCTGTGGCTCCTGCATTCACACAAGTGTCACACACACACACACATACACACACACACACACACACACACACATACACACACACACACACACACACACACACACACACACACACGCACACGCACACACATGTTTTTAAAGTGAGCAAGAGCCAGGTGTGGTGGTACACACCTTTAATCACAGCACTCAAGAGGCAGAGGCAGGTGCATCTCTATGAGTTCAAGGCCAGCTGGTCTACATAGCAAGTTCCAGGTCAGTCAGAGCTACAGTAAGACCCTGTCTCAAAAAAACAAATGTGTTTAAATGAACGAACATTTTCCCTGAATGGCCCATGAGCGCTAACACTATTTTTGTTTAGTTTTGTTTTGTTCTTTTTTGTTTTGCTTTGGTGGGTGGGTGTGTTTGGTTAGTTTCAGCAAGGGGTGGGTCTTTTGATTTTTCAAGACAGGGTTTCTCTGTATAACAGCCCTGGCTGTCCTGGAACTCACTAAGTAGACCAGGTTGGCCTCAAACTCTCAGAAATCCACCTGCCTCTGCCTCCGGAGTGCTGGGATTAAAGGCATGTACCACCATGGCCTAACACTATTGTCTCTACCCTATTCAGTGCTAGCTCTGAAGCAGATGGAAATGCAGAAATCAAATCTACATTCTCTGTCCTCCTCCTGAAGGTCGGGGTCAAAGGGCAAAGATAGATAGGTGTGTGGACCACTGCTATAAAAATCCTTCATGGGTTCCACAGAAGAGCAATGTGGCTGGGCGGTGATGGCGTATGCCTTTAATCCCAAGCACTAGGGAGGCAGAGACAGGCAGATCTTTGTGAGTTCGAGGCCAGCCTGGTCTACAGAGCAAGTTCCAGGAAAGGCACAAAGCTACACAGAGAAACCCTGTCTCGAAAAACCAAAAAAAAAAAAAAAAAAAAAAGAGCAATGTGGTAAGTATAGGGTAGGTGATGAGTGGTGAGACATGGGCTTGGACATCTTCCTGGGCTAAGGTTGTTCAGGAAGGGATCAATAACTAGTTAGGCATGCTTTGGCTCATTCTGGATCAGTCTTGGAGATGAACCCTGCTAGGTGACATCAGCAGAGTCCTCAGGATCTCTGCCTCAGTTTTTACACTTTTAAGTAGAGTTTGGTAGATATACCTGTACTCCAAATACTCAGGAAGTGATGGCATCAGGCTCGGGGATTCAGGGTCATCCTTGGCTACATATTGAGTCCAAAACCAGCCTGAGCTACATCAGACCCTGCCTCAAAACAATGACAAAACATGCAAGTCATCAGAACTTGAAATTGACTCATGTCAACTAAAGAGGAAGAGGTGACAGGGTCAAGTGGACTATCTGCAAGGCGGATGACAGCTGTGGCCCGAGCAAGGGGTTCCAGTACCGGCATGGTGCAGTGCCAGCATGGACTCTGCATGGCCTGGCCAGACCATAGCCCCAGTCTTGGCCCTGGACCCAACAACAGTGAGAAGTTCCTGCCATGACCAGACTTGAGTCTGGTTTATGAGGACTGAATAGGTTGAGCCCTGAGGGAGCTCAGCCCCTAGGACTTGAGTGACAACAGCCCACTTTACCTGTGATTGGCACTCATGGGCACCAGTTTGCCTAGTCCCCAACACAGATCTGCAAGCAGAACTGGCATCGCCCCCACAGACATCCAGGAAATAGGGCCTTTAAATTTTTATATAAGACAATGTCTTCTTACGTAGCCTCATGTATGTATATGCATGTGTTGGTGGGGAGGGGTTGTGTTCAGTGTGGAGAGGCCAGAGGTCCATGTCAGATGTCTTCAACTGTTCTCTATTTTGAGACAGGGTTCCTCACTGAACCTGAAGCTTAGCTATTCTACTTGATTAGCTGCCAGCAAGCCCCTGATCTGATCCTTCTTTCTGCCTCCCCAGCACTGGGATCACAAGTGTGCTCCAGCTTGCTGCTGGAAGTACAGTGCCGGCATTAAGGAGCCCTGAACAGTAGGTGGAAGATTTGAACTCAGAACCAGGCGGCGGCAGTGGGGCACGCCTTTAATCCCAGCACTCAGGAGGCAGAGCCAGGCAGATCTCCGTGAGTTCAAAGCCAGCCTGGTCTACAGAGCAAGATCCAGGACAGGCACCCAAACTACACAGAGAAACCTTGTCTTGAAAAACCAAAATAAATAAATAAATAAATAAATAAAAAGAGTTGAACTCAGATCTGGAGCTCTGAAGTATCCACAGGATAGATGAAGTCACTGAGGACTGGGAAGAACAAAAAGAGAGGTCCCTGAGGACACTAAAAATCTAACACTGAAGAGACGAACTGAGAAGGGACAATCAGAAGACTGGCTATCTAAGGATGGAGGATGGAGGGAGGGCATAGTCACAAAGGGAGGCATGGTCTCCAAGGGAGAGGTGGATGTGGTCACAAAAGCAAGCGCCCCTGTGAGTTGGATATTGTCCTTCCCACTTAGGAGCTGTCTGTGGCTAGCTGACTCAGAGAGAAATGGGGCAGAAGCCTGGGGGCTGGAGAATGAATAGGAAGTCCAAGGGGAATTGGAGATTCTGTTGGGAAGTGAAAGGACAAGATGAAAGGCCAGATCGAGGGGGACAAAAGCCAACCGCGTGTACTGTGCCCAGCTGATTTTGGCTTGGGGTTAGTGGTACTTGTTCTAGCCTGCTGTGGAAATGGGCCAGGGAGCCAGTTTGGGGAGGGAAGTTTGAATAAGCGAGAATGAGGGGACCTTCTGTGGCACACAGGGGACAGGGGAGAGTGAAAGAATAGCCAAGTCCCCTTCCTGGAAGAGCAGTCCTATTCCCAGGGGGGCGGGGGCGGGGGCAGGAGTCTTGTGGTTTAAATGTCACATTCCTTTACTTTGCGAAGTAGGTTGTCTTATGAAATTGAGCCCGTCGGTAAATGCCTGTTGACCTAAAACAGCAGGAAATTGGGAGATACGAGTGAAGGACAAGGCAGAACACTCATTCAGTCCAGCCCACCTCCTTACCCCTCTCAGGAGATGACCCGAGCTGGTGGAAGGGTGGAGGAAATGACTACAAGCAGAGTAGTGATGCTCCTCCAGAGAGTGAGTCAACCTAGGACCCAGATATCACTGCCACCTGCTGTCA